TTAGGCTAAATATAGTTATGAAATCATAAATGAAAGATCATTATTATTATTTCTTCATCTGTTGATGATAGAATTCTATGAAGTCCAGAACCACTCCCAACTTAGTGCCCTTCAGAGGTCTTAATCTTTTCATCAGAAAATTGATATATTACAGAAATTGACATGTTGGTGTGCTAAGTCATTAATATCTGAATTACCTCTACTTTTAAGAGTGTTTTCAAAAGAGAGATTTCAAAAAAAATGGGCTTGAAATTCTGAAGGAAGCATGATAGTGTATCATGCTTGATAGTGTATACACTCTTGATAGTGTATCACTCTCTGAGGATTAAGGTTCCTATTGAGGAATAGGCAGGTCTGACCTCAGGCTGCTATTCCAAGACCTCTATGGCCCATGGCATTTCGCCTATGTTTTCAGGCACCTGGACTATCTATCAATACCAGCTGATTCTGTCTCCCACCATCTCAAACTAAGTTTCCACATAAGTTCACATTAAATAGTAATGATGTTCATGCATAATCAATATAGGCTACATTTAAAGCACTGACCCAGCAATAATATTTCTATATCCTATTATCCATACTCAGAGCCACCAGGACTTTATACAGACAAAGAATTATAGACTTACAGATTGCTCTTGACTTTTCCTGATGAGGAAATATAATAAAGAAGTCTAGAGGGTGAACCCTTTCAGTCACACACTCACAAGATCTCATAAGAGTAATGAAGTTTTGTGTCTTGTTCCAATTTTGATGGATTTCTTCCAAGTAATTAATCTAATCTGAAGAAATTATATCGTGGGATCCTGTAGCCCATTTCAGGAACCTGGTTCTAAATAGTCTTGTAAGCTTGCTTGTATGATTCATAGGAAAGAGCAGTCTTTATTTTATTATGGTATTTTCATAGAATATATTTATTAGTTTGTAGTCCACTTTTCCATCCCTAAGTATTCAAGGAGACTAACAGATAAAACAAATGCAAAAAGATTTTAACAATTAAAATCCAGTTGAAATAGCAGTTGAAATCACCACTGATTCAAAAGGTATAGGTGATGAGGAAGACTTGATTTGTTTCCTGAAATTTGAATAAAGCAGCTACTGTGAGAATGTGTTCCAAAGCTTGGAAAAGACATAGGAAAACATCCTCTTCCATTTGCCAAGTGGATGTAAACAGGAATGTTTAGATGTCCATAAATCTTCACACTGACATGAATGTTCTTTTCTCGTAATCACAGTATAAACACTTTAACTTTTAAAACTGAATCCCAGGACTTTGAATTCTACCTGGAAAGCAGCTGGTGATCATAGGGACAATGTGACCCCAATACCGTACACTAGTTAGCAGCCTAGCTGCAACGCTTTGTGCAATTAAAGTTTCCAGAAGCCTTTCATAAGCAGTCACATGAAGAACATATTGCAGCAGTCTAGCTATGATGTGTGGGGTAGCTAAATGTTGCATATCATATACACAGGACCTTTGGACAAGGGCCCTCTTTGGCCCTTACAATACTACCACCTGGCCAGTTTCAGAGGTTCAAATCCTCTCTCTGGAATTACATTTGAACCAGGTTATCCAGATTTCCTTCCACATTTGTCTCATCAATTCTGAATTCACATAAATTTTTCAGCTTCCTAGAACACAAGATTTGCATAATATTTTGTGACTTTTGAGAACAGTAATATGGAAAATTTATCTTTCTTGTGGCCAATAATCAACCCTGTTTTTTCTCTCTTTTAAAAATTACTGTGATATATAAAGTTGCTGTTTCACAAGTTTCTGCCCCTGCTCCAAAACACCAATTTTCAGATTTGGGGATCTAAGCTAGCAGTGAATGCACTTTGATTTGCATACAATCAATAGGAATCGAGGGGAAATTCTTTCAATTTACAGCATGACCCAAGCCTTTTAAAAAGAAGTACAGTTTTACTTTAATTAATTGCAAAATATTTATAATAACAGAAATAAATATAAGCATGGATTAGTCTGAGAATGTTTGTGTTGACTGTTAAAAAGTTGGAAGAGTGATGCAGCCACACAGATAGGGCTGGACAAATTAAAACACAGACTCAGAGATGCTAAAATGATTGAAATATACAGGGTTATACAGCAGTATGTTAATAGGAGAAAATTGCATTTTAAAGTACATCTTCAGAGAAAATAGAAACGTGTTAAAGGAAAAATACAAGACAATCTACTACAGACTAAATTAATACAAGACATAATGGAATCTTTAGCAGTACACATTTATTTCTTTTTTTCATATTTACTAGGGCTACCAAATCTGGAATGCTAAAATCTAAACAACTACTCAACCAGTAGATGGCAAAAAAGAGTTAGAAAAGTTAGTATTTCTGCTGCCATCTAGTCATAGTCTGAATGTTGGCAGTCCAGATCTGATAGCCATTGTGTTACCTTGATCTATAACAGTATGGCAGATACTCCATCAGGAATCAAAGCACAACATAATTTACTTAGGATAGAAAGTTTTACTCATTCCTGTTCTGGAAATAATTTTTTAGGAGTGAATTGTTGGAAAAACTTTGATTTTTCAAGCCTATACTTAGGGGTTAATGAACAACTACAGCTTTTATTGATTGTAACTCAAAAGGTGATGGTAACCCTATGCCTGACACTGAAATAATCTTGGCCTCTGACTTCAAATGAGCCTATAATAAGTTTAGGTATTTGAAGACTGAAATCTCTCACATTCATAAAGCTTAGAAGGCAAGCTCAAGATGGATTAAAACGGTACACTGCTCTGCATATTGATTTTATCCCTTTGAAGTTGGTGGGATAAGCCTAAGTACATGTACTCTAGTTGATGTAATTTGGAGTAAACCATCAATCTCCCTCGAAATGATACATCAAGTCTTAAAGGTATAGCCAAATTGTTTTTTCATCTACATTTTTCCAAAAACAATGTACAAATACATCAAAATAGGAAAACACAAACTGCAGTTGAAAAGGTACTTTTAAAAATACATTTCCATATTTGAAATTGTCAAAATATTCCCCAATTAATCTTGGTTAAACTTAATGTAATCATTTATTGCAGCCTGTTCTGGCATATTACCATTTTTTAAAAAAAATTCCTTTGAACTTTCTCCAGCTTGACAAAGTCTTCCACTTCACTGCTGAATACAGCATACTATAATTTAACAAGATCTGAAATGTGACTCCTGGTGATTTATCTTAAATGGTACTGTCTCTGCTCCCACCCACCCCTTTTTTTTAATGACATAACACATTGCTGATGGAACTGTTCATCTTCATCACAGGCTGGGGATAAGGTAAACTTTGCAAGCGACACTGTTATTTTTATTTAGTGTGTGTATGGGAGCAATCTGTTTGGACTGATTTCCTTTTTGCATCTATCTGCATCTATGAACTTCCATTCATATGTACAGTTCACCCTGGCCACACATTTTTGTTGAACTGTAACCAGAAACACAGCAAGGCAATCCTGCTTCAATGAATAACATTTCATCATAAAGTTCTAAACTGCTATATTACTTCTATGCATACCTTTCATGCTTAGGCAAAGCACAGTGGGGCATTCATATAATGTTTTTAGTAAGAGCAGGAAATAGTAAACTAGGTAATTAGCCTGCCATATGCAGGATTCCCTGCTTGCCCTAAGGACAGTACCAGTCCATTTTGTCACATTTGGACCAACATGTCAGAAGCACAACCAAAGTCCAGTTTTACCTCAAGCATGTTACACAATCTTACGCATCCTGGGATCTCTAATCTAAAGAATACCTTGAAAGCCAAGTATTGCTGCCTGCATCACACCAACTAGGAGGTACAGTACATACAGGAAATTGGCACAAATATTGCAAGTTAAGAATTTAAGGAATGCTTATCTAGCCAGCATTGGATCCCTCTGTGCAGAAGCATCCAGGCCTGGGTCTCAGGTACACATGAACTGCACAATTTTACTTTGTAACTATTACCTGGCAGGGCTGAGGCCTAAAGGAACAGCTACTGTTCCTCCCAGCCACCTTAATACACAAAAATTTTGCTCATACGTGTTACATTATTGTAACCATCTAGACTTAATATGTCAAAATCTTATAGCAGATTTATTTAGTGGTAATTGACAATTATAAGACCAAACTCCAGTCTAGAAAAGACTTGCTTATCACTTATCAAATCTTTGCCCTAGATTTTTTTTTTAATGATATAAAAGTGGGAAGACACAAATCTGCATTCCAGTTGTTAAAATGAAGCACCATTTAAAGGAACTAAACCGCACTGAAAACAAATGATGATTTAACTTAAGTTACATTTTTGTTTATAAAAGGTTTGGCTGCACATTATGCATTCAACTTTGCTTCACGTCATGTACTTTGGAAATATTTTTTCAAGCACACTCACACTGTCTTCTCCAATAAAATGCATCCGTTAAAATTATTTATTCCCCACAAATGGTTCCCATTTAGTTCAAACTCCTTCCTTCCTTCCTCTGGTGGTTATTAAAGCAATTGTTTTATAAGTTCATTATTAGATGTCATTGGTCTTTAATTATAATGTGGTTTTATGTCCCTGAAGTTTTCTTTCTTGGAAAAATGACCAGTCTATCAGACTACCCCAATATATCATTCTGTCAAGTTAGAGAGCAAGGTCTGTTAAGGAGCACATAAGGATATAGTGTTAGCAGCAGTGGCTGCAGGGATGAAATAATACCCAGTTGCTATTTCCCAGCTGCTGTTCTAGACATTTTTAAAAAATAAAGCAAAAAGCTTGTTTACTAAGAAACACAGTGCTGTGGAGAAAAAAGTCCTTCATTCAACAAATATTGAATTATCATTCAGGGCATGGGTGAGACATATGGCAAATAAAGGCAATATACCAGGACAAACAGAATCTAAACATCTTTGGGCAATAGTAAATATTAATAACACGCACGCAACTAGTGCTTGTTAACCTTTCATGCCTTAGATATTTGCTTACTCAACAGAGCCAACTCTTTTTCAAAGACTCTTTAACTTCTTTATTTTTCAGAATCGCTGATCAACACGGAGGGCATGTCAATAATAGGATTCTCAGGTATGACATGAAGAAAAATAAATTTCTCCAGGATCATGGCATTTGTTAATTTAAATGTAATGAAATGTGAAATGCACACTATTTGGTGGGACTCCAGTCAATCTGAATTTGTAGAAAACAACACTTGTGGCTTTTACATTGGCTTAAAGATTTAAATGATGCACTTATTTCTTCCAGGTCCATAGAAGTTCCATTCAGACATTTCTTCATAACTATAGTGAAACCAAAATGTGATGGAGTTGTCTTTTGGACAATTTGAGAGTTATCCTAATGCATCTGAAGAGCACAAGGCTGGGGAAGGTTGACTTTAGAAGCAGCCATGCCATAAAGTCATGATACTCAGATGCCAAGGCTTAACTGTTTAGCAGTTTAATCCAAATAAAGGATTGCTTCCCCCCCCCCCAACATATGCCCAGGATTTTGAGCCTTGGATAATGTACAGCAGTTCTCTGGAATGTTGCATTCTATATCCGCGTGAACGAACAGCAAACTAAAGCTGTTTGCCTTTTTTCAACTAGAGAAATGTGCTCTCGCATGCAAATTTCTTACAGCCCAGTCAGCTATTCCTTATTTTAGCAAGATATACTATTTTTCATGTTTGCTGAGGAGTTGATCCTATCTTAATCTCTACCTTCCTTGCCACACCATTTTCTTGTTTTGTTTTTGTTTTCCTCTTAAAGATAGTTAAAGATCTAAGTGTAAATTGTATATATATCTAAATTCTGTTGCATTTTTAAAAATGAAGTAATGGAAACTTCTCTCCCTGTTTCTCTCTCTTCCCCCCCCACCCCCCATTTTTTTTCCCTAGCAGTGCCTCTTCCATTTTGTTGAACGGGTCAAATAAACATGTGTCTCTTGAAATCAGGGTTTCATAAACACATCCGGTGCTGCCTGACTGAAAACACCTTTCCTCTTGTTCTGAGGTATTTATACAATTTATAGCAAGATGTCTTGGAAAGTTGACTGACATTCTCCAGCATAGCCAGGAGCATCTGTGTGCTCTGCGTATTAAATTAAAAATTTCTCCCAACAGTCCCCCTCTCTTATTCCTTACAAGTTCATGCAGGCCAACAATTTTATTCCAGTCTTTTGCCTCCAGTATAGCGGATGAAATTATCCTTCACAATTTGGTGCCACTTATCAGTGTGTGCTTTTAATGCATACCGAAACATTTTTTGATACAACTGAATTACCTGTTCTTTTCTTTTTAACACAATGTTTGCAGTATATTACTTTCTGTTTAAAAATAACGAAGAAATCTTAATTTTTAATTACTTCTAATTAATTGCAATTAGGGAAAACATGCCTATTTTTTTAAAAAATGCTGATTATGAAAGCAGGACAGTGTTATTTGATCAACAAACAGTGATAGTCAAATATTTTCCCAACAGATACACTGAGTATAGTTCAGTAATAATGTAGGGGCATGTTACACATTCTCAAAGATAATTTCTTTATCATGATATATTCAAAGTCTAAACTTTTCTAATCATTTCTGGCATGAGTTTGCCTTGAAGAAGTTTTGTTATAGACATTGGTAACTACACCAAGACCAGCTTCACCAAGACCAATCATAGTGGAGCAATTTACTCAACCATTTTGAAACAATATGGACTACTCAGAATGTGCAAACAGATAATGCCAAGAGGCAGTAATCATCATGATCTAATTATAATATAACATATAAACTGGCAAGACAGCCAGGGGGTAAAAAAATAAATAAATAAAGGCCGTGTCCAGGACAGTGTGATTGAAGGTCTGCATGTTTTTTAAGTGCATTGCAGCATCACGGGCAATGCCCATGTGACACCCCTGCTGTGTGAGCTGCACTAGTTGCCAGTTTGTTTCCAGGTGTGATTCAAGGTGCTGGTTATAACCTATAAAGCCCCACATGGCATAGGGCCTGGTTACTTGAGGGATAGCCATGGTATCAGCTTGGCTGGTTTGATCCAACAGGGTTGACATGCTCTGGGTTCCTTCAATCAAGCAGTCATGGCACCTGCTGTCTGGAATGAGGTTCCCCCAAGACCTAGGGGCTCCCACCGGATTGGCATTCTATAGTGGTTCCGTAAAGACCACTATGAAAGTAATTTCTAGGGTGTCAGATGGTAGTTCACTAGGAGGAACCTGTATTTTCAAAATTTTCCAAATTGGCATACCTGGATGCCATTTCAAAATGGAATATGCTTGCATATTCCTGTTATATAGCACCAATTGTGATTGTGTTGTTTGTTTGTTTGTTTTTGCAGTGCAACAAAAATCATTGTTATTCTTTATGCATAACTGTGATGTAGAATTTAAAAAAATGGGAGAAGGTCATTAATAACTTTTACACTTCAAAGAAGCTGAATTCAGAAATGTATTAATCTTCAGATATTTAATGGTAATATGGTATCTGTATGTTACGCTTCATACTTAAAGTCTCCTAATGGTATATGTGCTGGTGATAATGCAAATCATTGATATTAGATGCTTCAGAATCATTAGGAGCCTGAAGTAGAGTGGAAGAAATGTAAAGAAATCCTTTGAGATGAAAACTATTTTGCCAACCAAAAACTTATGCGAAATTCTGTGGTATTCAAGATAAAGAAGGACAGGGAAAAATAGGTGAGGCTCTCAAAAGGAGAAGAAAGATGCCAGCTGGATTGTAAGTCATAAATAGTGAAGATGTAGTGTGGCTTATTGAAAGGTTTGGAAATCAGTACTTAGTTATTTTATAACTCGGGAGACAGAAAATTTAGACATCGTAGTCATTGAAAGATATCCATTTTTATGTTTATTCAGTCAAGTACTGAATAAACATGAACAGGAATCAGATTCAACTTGTGAAGATATCATCTTCAACTGTGTGGGACAGAACTGTTTCTCTCCCCCTGCCACCTACAGAATTAGTGATTTACCTAAGAAAAATATGAAAACTCTGGACAAAAAGTCCTGAGTCATCAAGTGAACCTTTCGGGTTATGTAGCTTTTCATTCAGATTTTTAGTGTATAAATCATGTCCTACAGTTCTGCTCATACATGTTTCTCTTTTCTTTAAAACAAGAGGAAGGAAGGAAGGAAGGAAGGAAGGA